TGAAGTATAACAAACTGAATGAAAAAAAGTCCATAATACTCAAAGAGACAGGCAAGAAAAAAAGGAAACACTCTTCTTGACCAAACACCAGCCAATAAATGTAGAAGCAATGACATTAGAAAACCACCATTCTGCATCCCCTCACCACTGAAACAGTTAATTCAGGCAAGAATCATCAATGGATGCTAAAACCACTGAGTAGGGCTGTTGGGGAACAGACTATTCACATAGTCTCAAAGTATCATCCCACATATTACTCAGCAATTACAAAGGGAAAATTTATCTTTACAACAGAGAGACCTGGTGTTCAGCACCTTAACAAAGGACTGAATTTAGCAATACCAACAGTGGGACAACCTGACATTACATGCCATCTGATGTGATGCAAAATAGTACATGTCACTTATAGTATTCTTGCCAAAACAGTTTAGCCTGAATCAAATTACGATGAAATAGATAAAATCAAAACATGGGGCATTCTGCAGCACAACTGGCTTAGCCAGACTCTTTAAAAAAAGTCAATGCCATAAAAAACAATGAAAAGACTCTAGATTAACTGAGCTTAAATGAGACTAAAATGACATTACCAATGTAAGTGTGACTGTGGACTGGATGCTAAATAAATTAAGCAAACAAATAATTGCTTAAGACATTTTAGATACAATTAGGAAAATATGAATATGAACTGTTTACTGGGTGATATTACAGAATCATTACTAATCTTTCTAGATGAGATAATGGAACTATGGTTATATTGGAGAATATCCTTATTCTTAGCAGACACATGAATGAAGTTTTCGAAGGGAAGAAGCAAATGTTGTGAATTTAGAAGTTTTATATTACCTTTTTTCTTGTCCAACTTTTTTGTGGTTTTAAAAAATTTCAAAATAAAGTTGGGGAAAGAATTAGAGGGTCTTAATAGACTTTTAAGGACCTGATAGTAGGCAAGCAAAATTTCAATGGTTTTGAATACTGCAAAATCTTCCACGTAAGCAGAGTAAACAGGCTGAAAGTTCTCACTGAAAAAAATCTCTCAGCATTATTTAAAACAGCCAACAAAAAGACAAAACACTCTTTCCCCAATTCTAGATTGATTACAACACCTTCTTAAAAATAAGAGAAAGCTCCAAAACTAATGCATGAATGAATAAATAGCTATTATAATATGTATTTATATTTTACATGTTGACAGTTCCACTCAATAAATCTCCTCTGTTTATTGAAAAATAATAATTCTCTGGGCAAATTACTGCCCCAAATCAGAGGTATAAGTTATTTATAATCTCTATTATTCATTTTTGTTCCTTTACAATTAGAAAAAAATACATTTCAAAGGACAACTTATTAGTATATCCTGACTCTGGAGTCAAGTTGTATGTACTGGAAGACTGGCTCTGGCAATTATTACATATGTGGCCTTGGGCAAGTTATTTTTCCACTTGTGCCTCTATTTCCTCATTCAGTACAGCGGAAACAATATGTATCTCATAGGTTGACAGGAAGATTAAATTAGTTAGTTAATATAGGAAAAATACTTCAATTAGTACCTGGCATACCGAACACATTCGAGACACATATATAGTATATATACTAGATATAGTCAGAATGTTTATTTTGACTTTGATGTTTAAAATATCCTTTGTCATATTTTTTCTTTAAATACACGTCGAACTAAAATTTTAAAGGAATGAAATAGATACTAACCATCATAATTAATATTTATATGACAAAGGTTAGATATTCTAAGAATGAGTTCTGCTTTAGAAAACTTAATGGCTTGCCTCATATAACCCGACATGAAAATACTGACTTTATCACACCTTAAAAATATTTTTACTAAAAAATATGCACACACATACATTTATATATACATGTATGTACACACAGATACTTACATGTATATAAAATTGCTCCCCTCCTCTTTATCCCACCATGCGGTTGGGACACTCTTTCCTCATCTGGGTGACTGGAAGAGCTTCCTAACCAAACTCTCTGACTTGCTCCCTGGGCCTTCCAATGACATCCCACACTACTAGAGTGACTCTTATAAAGGGAAAATTATTTTGTCATTCTACAGCTTAATCTTCAGGATAAAAATCACCCTCCTCAGTGTTTAACTCAAACTGCTTAATTCAAAATGGCACGCTAAGCCACGTAGGACGTAGCTACTCCAGCTCACGGACATTCGCCCTCGCCATGCCCCTGCCACACGTGGCTCCCGTCAGAGTGCACTGAGGCTCTCTCCCTTTCTAACATCACTTAGCTTAGTTGTTTCCTGACCTCCTTTAAAGTCCAGGTCAAACATCACGTTCTCCAGGAAAACAGTTGGTGATTTTCCTCCCCCGCGGCCTTCTGATTTAGACAGCCCTCCCCGTCTCGCCCCTCCACAAGCCTGTGCAATCCTCTATCAAGCAGTTCCTCACTACATTTACTAAAACTTGTTTTAGTTGCTTGTGTCATATGTAGTTCACATTCAATAAATGTTTGTTGAATGACTGAATACATGAATAGAGAAAACGAGAATTATAATAACATTGTGCAGCAAAACAGGCCTCAGATTCTCCATTGATAGTCATTCCATATTCTAAATATTCATCTAAAATGAATTTTTAATAAATGTGAATCTTAAAGTGGCTTATCCTCATTTAGCCTAGTATAATGTTAATATTTATTTCACATTGGAGTTTTTCAGGATGCTATGGGAAGCCCTCTATCTACTGGGTACATATTTCAAAGATTTCAGAAGGAGAATATTCTTTGAACATTCTTTCCCTATATTGAATGAAAAAATTCCCCCAAACTCAGAAACATCAAAGGCTGAGGGCCCTGAGTCTACACAGACCACAGAGGTGAAGCACAGTGAGTATTCAAGACCACAAATCAGGAGCTTTCCCGAGTTGGTCACGGAAACAGGTGGTGACCCATTCGCCAGGGGTATATGAACTCGGGTGAGGGTAAGACACTGGGAAGTGGGGAAGGGCTCCCTGAAATGTGAGACGGGTGAATTCATGCTTGTGAAAAGCACAAAGCAAGCAGGGAGAAGTGGGCAGCTCTCTGGTGAGGACCACATCAGTCACACAACAGGGCTCCTGGTTTCGGCCCCGCTACCAAGAGCGAGTATAATTTAGTCCTTCTGTGCTTCCATTAAACCTCATAGTTCTGGGAAGATCTCCTGGCCATGCCAGGCTCTAATGATCTGTGCTATTTATTCCCAAATATTAATCAAAAATTAAATTCACTGATCCAATGAATATATAAAGTTAGTGTTTCATTAACTGACTTTTAAACTGATGCCCAAATCATTTAATTTTGCTAACCAATAATCATTCAAAATCCTATATACTTATTTCAATTTAAAAACTACCAAGAACTGCATGTAATTTTTAGTCTTGATAAATTTCCTCAGTAAATGCTAACAGGAGACTAAAGTCTGCTCAAATTACATCTTTTGTGACATGCTCTAGATATTCAATCCGAGGACAGTCAGGTATGTTTCTAATAAAATTGACACATATTTATTATATAGACAAGGCCAAAATACTTAAATTCTGTGTGTTCAATCCTAAAAATATAATTTAGTATCCATCAGTCTTTAACATGCATTATTTTAACAATAATGGTATAGTACCTTGAAAATCTCAAGTACAGGTACAAAAAAGATAAAGGGTATAATATTATAATTCAAGTATTTCTTTTTTTGTTCAGATTTGTTAACGCAGTGAAGAATTAAAAAAAAAAAAAAAAAGACATATAGCACCAAAAGAAGCTTCCTGTATTTGCCTGTGTCCTCAATTTTTTCATTTACTGTCTTTTTGGGTAACAACCATCCAAGCTATCAACCTTGCAGTCATCCTAACGGTTCTTAGTCTCTTGGCCTCTTTTCATTCAACAGCCTTTTCCAGCTTATCTCATTAATTCCTGTGGATTCAAAGACCACATATATGCCACTGACTCCTTAATCTATACTCATGCTTCAAGCCTGTATTTCAAAGTATGCAGTCCAGTTCCTAGCAAAGGGATTGACTCATAGTAGGATATTTAACAAATGAGGGTCAAATGGATGAGCAAGCTATTAGCTATCTCGCTCCAGGCATCTCAATCTCAACACATCCAAAACACAATTCATTATCTTTTCCCCAATTTCCTATATTTCCCTATTTTTGTTAGTGGATTGTCATCCATTCATTCAAAATTAGAAGAAATTAGAAGCCTCAGTTATCCTTAAATTCTACTTCTCTATCCCTTACTGCTCACATTCCAAATCTCCAGTACCTAAAGATGTAACATCTCCAGTTTCTTACTTCAGTCCTTTTCTCCCACCTCATTTATTAAATCCTCTTTTAACTGGCCTTCCTAGCTGGAATGCCCTAATATCCTTTATGATTATCAGTCTTCTCATCTTACGACAATTAGTTTAAATACTGCCTTCTCAATGAGGGGTTGTCACTACATCACGTATGCTCTCCAGTACACTTTGTTCATTTTTCTTATTATAGCAGGTATCAAACTGTATAATCCCACTCACATCCCTCTTTTAAAAAATACATCTCTAGTGCATACTGTCAGTGCTGAGGATGGGGCGGTGTTCTGCCCTCCATTTATACAAGGTTCTGTATGATCCAATCCCTTGCTACCCCTCTGGCCTGTCTTCTACTCTCCCTCTCATCCCCTCCACCCCAGCAACACTGGCCTCTCTGCTATTCAAAATGCACACCAAGCACATTCCCCACACGGGATCTTGGTTTGGGATGCTAAGCCGTCCTTGTCTACCCTATTGAAAACAGCAACCTAACTCCAGCCCCCTGTTCACTCTATCCCCCTTCCCTGCTTTACTTGTTATTTATTCTATATTTATTTGCTTATCGTCTCTCTCTCTCTCTCTCTCCACTAGAAGGTAAGCTAAACAAGGACATGGAGTTTTACCTGTTTTGTTCACGGATACATTCACATAACACCTATAACAGTGCCTGGGGCAGAGTAAGTACTCACTGGGTACTTACTGAATGTATGAATGAATCTTGCATTCCCAGTATCTGCATGTGCAGGAATTAAACATCCTTTAGAATTAAAAACAAAAAAAAGAACAAAGTTAAAATGAGAAAGGATTTAATAATGGAAAATGTATTTTCATCTATTACACTGGTATGGTATTGAGAATGTAGGAAGGTGAGAAATTTTCTCAGGTTCACTCATAAAAGACATAATTTCAATTCTAGGGAGAGATAATAAATTTAAATTTTGAACATAAGCATGATGATTTAGAAGACGTTTTCCATAACTCAAAGCAAAAAGAAGTCATCTAAAAATAATATGCTTCTTATGCTATATCAACTTTTCCCCTGTAAAACTTCACTGAATATTAAGAACTACATTAATATGCCTAACTCCTATACCATGCATTTATAATTGCCTTTAACATTAGTTTTTAAACTGTTTTACTTTCAACTCTTACGTAAATCTTCACTTGAAAATATACAGATTAAAAAGACTGAAATGACATTAAGTATCAAGCCTTATAATGTTACTACAAAAATAAAAGAAAAAAGAAGCAAAAAAAAGAAAATAAGAGACACTCCCCCTAGAACCCCCAAAGTTTGTTGATTCTGAATTGGCCAAAATAAAAATCCTGCTCACCACCTACTCTGCTCAGACAAATGTAACAGTTGTGAAATGTGAGACTTGATTCGGCTTTCAAAAGAAGGGCAAGTATACACAACAAACACACACAAACATACACATAGTCACTCACACACATTAATATGAAAGAACTAGAGTGTTTTATAAGTATTCACTCACTTATAACACCCTTGGGAGGCAGATCTGAAGGACGCAGCATAGTAATTAAGGTTATTATATGACTTCTGACACATTAGCTTTGTAAAAAGCCAGCAACAAAATTCAGACTCCTAGTTCTAAGCTATCTAAGCTATCAGAGGAGTCCTAAGTGGACAATATCGTTCTATATTGCAAAGATAACAAGGAATCTAAGCAGGGCCATCAAACTAAGCACATTTTATAAGGATAATATATTTAATCAGATTGGCTCCTTTCTCTGTGCTCGCTTAGTGTTTTATGATGATCTCCTGTTGAACTCACCTCCATTATACTATAACTATTTCTCGGCCTGCTGGATTCCCCAACTAGACTGGGAGGACTTTGAGGACAGTCTCTCATCTTCCATTTCTCCCAGGGCTTGGCAAAGTCCCTGCCACACAGTAGGCTCTCTGTAAACATTGGTTGATGAACCATATGAATTCATTTTTGAAAAAGTACGAAAAGGTTTTTATTTTTTATTCTGAATAACAGCTTTTGTTAGAGTGCGTCTACTAAAATACAGCATTTCTGGTTCTGCTCAAAAAGAAAAAACATGGACACTAGTCAAAAATCATTCCCAATTCTTACTCCTTATGAAATTATACTTGAATGTCTTTTCAGAGGAGAAAGTTGAGAAAAAAAGTAAATTGCCTGAAATTAGAACATTAGAACAACGTTCTACTTTTTACTTATTGAAAATTAACAATGCAAAAACTTCTTAAATTATTTCTAAAAAATGACCAGTCACTCCATTTAGTCATTTCTTAGTTTCCACATTAGTCATCAACTTTGCTCTCAGACTGGGAGGCAAGTTGCTGACTAAGAACAACACAGAGAGAGATTCTTTACAATTTCATTCAAGGAAAAAGCTTCCTAAAAACACACATTTAAAAGTCTGGAAAATACAACTCAACATTATCTAGACATCTCTCTCATTACCAGAAGGTTTGGTTCCTAAACCTAATTTCCACTGTTAGTTGACATTTTCAATAAGTGATGGATATTCATTTCCAGAAAACATTACCAGTAAATTCTATGATATCATAGACTGTTCACTATCCAGACCAAACTGACTAAACCACAAAATGCAAAAGTATGCACTTTAGTTACTCTAAGGGAAACCTTAAGGCTATTCTGAGTACAGTCTCAGAAGAGTATAACCTAACTGAGTAAGAGTCAATGAGAACTTAATGTAGAGAGCCTCCTCCTCTGAATTTCCAGGGCCTTCAGCTGACACAAACCAAAATGTTTAAACACTGAAGTACTTCTTGTCATGGACTTAATTTTAAAAATATAACTTTGGGACATACGAATTTGCAAAGGAAACAAAAAATATTATTTCTATGATATAAATGGTATTTCATTTTTCCCCGACCAGGGGAGGAACATGAGGAGCTGCTTCCTTGTTTCTAAGCAGTGCCACCCTAAGCAAAATCAATAAATAAAGAATGATTACTAGGATTTTGGGGCCGGCCCCGTGGCTTAGCAGTTAAGTGCGCATGCTCTGCTGCTGGCGGCCCGGGTTGAGATCCCTGACGCGCACCGATGCACTGCTTATCAGGCCATGCTGTGGCGGTGTCCCACAAAAAGTGGAGCAGGAGGGGCATGGATGTTAGCTCAGGGCCAGTCTTCCTCAGCAAAAAAAGAGGAGGATTGGCAGATGTTAGCACAGGGCTGATCTTCCTCACAAAAAAAAAAAAAAATGATTACTAGGTTTTTAAATTCATCACTTCATCACTTTTCACAGAATCGTAGAACATAAATACTGAAATGGACGATGACCTGAAATAAGTGAAAATGTTAATGTGCAGGTATATATAAAGGGAAGGAATGAGTATTTGTGATTAATATGGAGTAAAATTTAATCTTTTATTTTAAACATGAATTAAAATATTTTTCATTATCTGAGAGGTGGTCAACATTTTGATATAGATATAGATATATTCACTATAATACTGAAAAACTAAAAATAATCATAATATCTAGCGATCGAAGAAAGGCTTTACAATTATGGAATGCTCATTTTCTTTAAAACTGTGCATTAAGTTTATCATCAGAAAAGAATTACAGAAAAATCTACTTTAAAAACTACATATTTGCAAATATAGTCTACAATAAAATCATTTTGTATGCCTAATTGTCTTAAAAATGGAAACACTATCAATTTAAGTTTGAGATTACAAAAATAGTAAAATGTGTCTTATGGTTGATATTAAACAACATCAAATGTAGTCTTATTCCCAAACTATAAAAACAAACAATAAAGCTATGCCTGGTCAGAACTCATGCACCATTTTATAACCTGCCCTCTCATGGTGCCTGCAGCAGTCATATAAAGCTGCAATTCTCCCTTTAAGCCTCACCTTTGAGTGAATTGATTACTGACAGTTTCATTTTGTCCTGGAGGCGCAGCAGTAAATTACAAAACATTTACCACTTTCACCTTTATATAAATTACATTCTGATAAAGAAGTTGAAACCTTCAAAGTCTCCTACTTTAAAATTACATAATAAAAACCACTTTTGTCATGGAAATGTTTTAATCAGTATGCCTAGAAGTTGTATTCTGAAAAAATGTATATGTAGTAGAAAAATATGGATTCTAACATAAGATATTCACTAAGTTTAATTCTAAGAACATAGTGCTTTCTCTTTCTAAAATTTAGTGGGAAGTTAGATAAATTTAAAACAAAAAGGTTCAATGATTAAAAGAGTTCTGAATATAGTCATAAAGATACTATCTATAACTCTTATTGCATTGTAAGTCAAACATAGGTTGGTATTTAAAAACTTTCACTTGCAGTAAACACTTTCCTATGCTCTATTTTCAAATGACAAGTCACTAAGATAAAATAACTTGCTCCAGGTCATAGCATAAGTAACAGAATCTAGATCTAAGCTCAAGTGTCTCTGACCTGCTGGCTAAATGCTACTAGAACATCATATATTGATTTAAATATGAAAAATAAGAAACTTCTAGAGTCCCTATTCAAGTTAATCAATATTGCTTATTAGTAACATCTGCACAATCACGATAATGAAATATCATGAAATCTTCAACATTATATTCAGGGAAGATTTAATATTAAAAGCATTATTTGTATTCAATTAAAAAAACTTGTAATCTATTCTTTATATTATAACACCTGATTTGTCTGGTGTCAGATAATAAAGATTTACATAGAAGCAGATTTTGTAGGTCTGACCTGTCCAATATGATAGCTACTGGCCACATGTGGCTATATAAATTAAAATGAAATAAAATTAAAAATTTAGTTCCTAAGTCACACTAGCCACGTTTCAAGTATTCAATTGTCACATGAAGCTAGAGACTACCATATTGGACCATGTAGGTCTAGAGTTCAGAAAAGAGGTCTGGGCTGAAGATAAACATTTGAGAATCACTGACATATGGGTTTAATTTAAAGTCATGAGATCACCATTGCCAAGGAAGTGAATATACATACGGGATAAAAGAGGATCAGATTGCAGTGGAACAATCTAATAAGAAATGGAAGAAAAGAGGAAGAATCAGCAAAGGAGAATGAAGACTAGTGGTTAATGAGATAAGAGGAAAACCAAGAACGTGGTGTCCCAGAAACCAATGTATTAAGAAGCGATCAAATGTTGTCAAATGCTGTTGATAGGTCAAGTAAGATAAGGACAAAGAACGGACCAATGGAATTAGCAATGTGAAGGTCACTGGTGAGCTTGGAAAGAACAGATTAGAGAGCTCAACAAATTTATAGAAGATGAAAAGTGATTAGAAACATCTGTCTGAAAACATGATGGTGAGCTGCAGCAGATACAGAATCTATGCAACAATGAGAGGCCCTGTGAACACAGAATCAGCATATCCAGTAGGGGGCAAAACAAAACAAAACCTGGGAGAAATAAGTGAAGGTTCATATATAAAAAACGTAGGCCAAACAGGATGCAGATTCCACATAAAATGGATGCTGCTGAGCATTAACCACAAGGCAAAAAAAACAAAAAAAAAAATCAGTGGAATTGCCTCTAAAAAATAACATTGAACAAACCATTTGGGAAGAGTGAAGACTTCTGAAGTGGATACTGTTGTCCCACTTATTCTCATTCTGACAGCCTGACAGGTAGACCCATTTATCTTGCCTATTTACCTGAAATATAAGCTGCCAGTTAATGTCTTAGCCATATATACAAAGTTCTCAGTAGACTTTCTGCTAAGGTGAACAAAACAGTGAGATTATAGAGCTATTTACAC